GATTTCTTATTGGTAGAAAGAGTCATCTGTCAAAACACTTTTAAGAAATTTTTGTATGAAATAGTCATTTGACAATCAAGCTTTATTATTCTAACATTTTCTTTGTATTCTTGATTTATAATTATTTATTTTTTATATATATTTTAATACAATGTCAAATATTAATTATTTTATTTTAAAATGTCAACTAGAAAATCTGAATCTAGTTATTAAAAACTAAAAAAAATGATGCTTTAATTGAGTCACAAAGGGGACCCTAAATAGATTTATCAAAACAAATAAGAAAAGTGAAGTTGAAAATACAAGTGATTATTCATTGAATGAACAAGTTAATAATATAGATGCCAATGAAAATGAAAGTGAAAATAGAGAAGTATTAGTTAATGCATATATTGTTTATAGAGTATAATGTAGTAAGTTGATTCAGAGGTTTAGTTGAGGCTAGAGAGAAGAGTATATAAGGCTTTCTCTGAGAATAGAGGCTCATAAGCTCATTCTCAAATAAAGGCGTAGCTAGCTCGTGCTCGACCTAACATCAAACCCAAGAGCTCTAAGGGTCATTCACGCGCGATTCAATCAACTTGTGCCCGACGTCATTCAAACAGAGACTCACAGGAGTCTCCACGCCTGGTGCGCCTACCCTGCGCCCGACGCCAAATCAAACAAACACCTCCAAGGGTCTCCACGCCCGACGCGCTCACTTTGCGCACGACGTTGTATCAAAAAAATACCATTCAAGCTACTGTATGATATCGCGCCCAGCTGAACTCATCCAGAGACTCCCATTTGCAATCGCACCCGGCGTGATCAAGAAATGGTTACTCTGATGAATGCACGCTCGGCGCCAAGAACATGCGCCTGCGCAAATTCATACAACAACCTCCCAAAACTAAAAAAATTCCTTCAAAACCTGAAAATCAGAAGATTTCCACCACATGCAATATAATACTTAGACTCCATACAACTAGGAAACATTCTCATATTCAACATGCACCCATCTGATGCAACAAAATCACCAAAACTCCCCATTTTTCCCAAAACCCCGAAAAATGATCAATTTCTCCAATCCAACCATGGATTCTCAAAATTCATGCATCAATTGAGTTCCTAAACTCACATGCAACTAAACAACATACATTCTAGCTTCCTTCACCTGAAAAATTGGCTCAAAATAGCCAAGAGTTGAGAAGAAGAAGAATCTCCTTCAAAGCTTGTCCCGCCAACTTTAATCTACCAAAAGTAAGCTTCCTAGCCTAAATTCCAATAAAAGTCAAAAGGGATTAGTGATCTAGAGAAGAAGAAGAATCAAACAGAGAAATTTAGGAGAGAAAGGAGCTCACGGACCTAGAGTCCTTCTCTCTAGGTTTATTTGAGAATGAGCTTATGAGCCTCTATTCTCAGAGAAAGCCTTATATACTCTTCTCTCTAGCCTCAACTAAACCTCTGAATCAACTTACTACATTATACTCTATAAATATATATTAAGTTAATAAATAATATTTTATCTATAATTTCATTATTTAGATTTTAAAAATTGTAAAATGAATGGGGATCAAGCTACTGTAAATTAATTCTTTACAAATTTATTTTATTTATAATAACTCATGATATATATTAAATTTTAACAATTTAATTGTTAAATTAAAAAAATTTATTAAATAGATTAAAAATATGTTTTGATAAATTTCTCAAAAATACTTTAGGAGTAAAAAATATAAACAAAAGTTAAAATAATTTTTTCGTAAATTAAAATTAACTTGTGTATAAGTTAAAGTTAAATTTTAGAAAAGATAATAAGAGGATTTAAACAAATAAGCTTATGGTGTAACGTAATAAGTGGGTTCAAGGTTAGTGAACGATAGAGGGAAGGGTATTTAAGACTTTCTCTGAGAACATAATTTCATAAGTTCATTCTCAAAGAAACCTAGAGAGAGGTTTTAGAGAGAAGGGCTCTGGTCTGTGAGCTCCTTTCTTTTCCAAACTTCTTTATTTGAATCTTCTTCTCTCCTATATCACTAATTCCTTCTTTGTTTCTTGAAATTCAGGCGGAGAAGCTTGTTTTGGAGAATTGAAGCCC